CTCATCAAAACAAAACAAACTAAAAAATGCATCCTTGATGTACAGAGATGCTGAATTATGAACATCAGGCTAATGTTTTTGCCACCTTTTTATACCTTTGAGAATCAAAGAGACACTTGTTTGTTTTACTCAGGAAAGCCATCTTGCAAATGTCAAACTAAAACAGGAGGGAGTGCAGGGGGAAAAAAAAGTGTTGTTGAGCCTGGTAATTGGAGAGGAACAAGGCACTGCTTCACTGTCAATTCAGCAAGCCGGTCCCCAGACAGTAAAACAACATCCCTGACAGAGAACAATAAACACTTCTTGTGTAACAATTCGTAAACATGTGTCCTGAGGGTCATACTTTATTTTGAGGGCCTTTTTCTGCAGTCGTTGAACTGCTAATATAGACAGCAGGGTTCCTGCTGAAGCCTCCAGCCACAAGAAAGAGACAAATCAACTCGCTCTGCACACATCCACCAGTGCTCGGTCCATAACAGTGATCACAGCAAAATTTCATTAATCACAAAGCCTTGTGCCTGCTAGACAAGAAAGATGAGTAAACAGAGAGAACGTTCTACGCACACTTCCAAGAGTGCTAAATCATCCTTTGAAAAACAATACCACCATTTTTTCTTTCCCCACTTTCTTTGTCACCGGTTTTTATTTTTCCATCAAAACACTGTTGCACCATTTTAAAACTAGATGTGCAATTAATCTAACAGTGCTAATATGAGCAATACAACAATAGGTGCATTTCTGAAATAAGTCATGCGTAAATTCTGTAATTTGCACATGATGACTTGAATAGGTTTATTTGGAAAGAATGAGTAGTACTAGATTAGAAATCAACCCCCAATTGGTTATACTAATATTGTGCCTTTTTCCATGAATAGGTTACTGTAATCAGGTTTGGAAGGTCCAATTTAGTGGAATCTATAGAATGTCAGATGACTATTTTAAGAATTGCACTGGGTCTGAGGAAACACAGGTTAACTATAACTAAACTTAAACATAACAGGGCTCAACAGTAAGGATTGCTTGATGGCCCGAGGCCAGCGTGTGAGACGCTTGGGACAGCAGACATGAAGGTGACTGGCCCGATTAGGCCAGTGCTGCAATGTCACTAAAGCAAATGCAGTCCTACGTTGCTTTTACACCCTAGAGTGCTGTTTATCTGTTAGGAAAATTAACAGAAATTATCATCTGATAACTGTTCCATATTTTAATCTTATGATATTTTGTATTAGGCCTGTTGTTTTGTTCATTTCTACAATGACACCTAGACAGAAAGATTAACATTGATATGTTTCATGACCAGACTGCAGTCTCGCTTCATCTGTTATTTCTCTCTATTATTTGAGCCCATAATGCATAATTCTAGGCAACATTTTTTTTCAAATAGATTAATTCAATAGTAGGGGTGTCAAAATTAATTGTTTCTTCGGTGCACCGTGATGCAGACGTGGACAATTCGGTGTCGGTTCAGTAATAATCATAACCGGTTATTGAGTACTGACGCCATTTTTCTCACATGCGCTATGTCGCCGTAGCTTACTATGGTGAGGGAGGCAAGCGCAAGTATTTACAATGCTCCAAATACTTAAAAAGGCAGAAACTGTGCACAATTTTACTGCGTGTGTGTTTTCTGGACAGTCTTTCACTGACACTTACAGCAGAAGCCCCTATTTCACTGCGACTGAGAGAATGAAAGTAAACTTCATTTCTCTCTCTCTCTCTCTCTCTCTCTCTCTCTCTCTCTCACTGTTGCCCATTTGACCTGCTGGCATGACTTTTCCTCTCCTCTCAGCTGTTACAGCGATACTTCTGGATAGAGGTCTGCATTCCTGCGGCTATACCGTGGAAATTGCGGGACCCGACCAGGTTTCTTGCAGCGTGGAAAAAAATTTCTGCGGGAGCGGTCGGTAACTCTGGTGTAATTTGAACGGGAGAGGGCAGGACAATATGTATGTAATATGTATCAAGAAATGTGTGTGTGTGTGTGTGTGTGTGTGTGTGTGTGTGTGTGTGTGTGCGCGTGCGTGCGTGTGTTTATGTGTGTAAATGAGAGAGAGAGCGTGTGCTCTGTCACTTGTTTGGTGCTGTCTGTTTGTGCATGTATGTGTGTGAGTGAGAGCGTGATGCTGTGCGTCTATGTGTGTTTATACAGACAGCTTTTTGTAGCCCCCACCCCCCAAATATAAAACTGTGTATGGAATGTGTCGTAGATTCACCCAGATATCGAATTGAACTGAATTCGTGGCATGATAATCGTAACCGAACCGTGAGACCAGTGTAGGTTCACACCCCTATTCAATAGATAGATTTTTACAAAACTTGACAATGAAAATAAGGCTATGTATGAGAAAGTCTTACGTCTCTGATTTATAAAAAAATGTTATATTGTTAAATACTTATTTATTAAATATTTGTTTATTATTTATTGTATGTAGTTTCAAATGAAATTATTACTCCAATCATTATTGCTTTTATTACTATTACCATTGATAATAATAAAAATCATAATCATAATAACAATAATAATAATAATAATAATTCATATTAGAGTGATTTCTCTGCAGGTTCATATGACTCTGAAGACTGGAGTAATGAAGCTGAAAATTCATCTTTAAAATCACTGGAATAAATTCTTTAATTAAATTATAAACTACTTTTGAACAGTTATTTTATAGTGCAATAACATTTCACAATTTTACAATTTGTACTGTATTTTTGTTAAAATAATTTTGGTGGAGCCAGTGAAAATTTTGGCAAGGTAAGTAAAAATCTGAACCACTGGCCGGAACATAAAATGTAGTTTAAATTTGCGGCTCACTTCACTTTGAAAATTGTTGCACATTTATTAACCTTTTACCGAGCACACATTGAGAAAAAAAAAAAAAACATTGGAAAAACCCTACATATGTATATGTATACAGTTGAATTTTTACCCCCCTCCCCGAATTATTATCCCCCCTGCTTATTTTTTTCCCCAGCTTCTGTTTAACAGGAAGAAGATTTTTTTCAACACATTACTAATCATTATAGTTATAATAACTCATCTATGATAACTGATTTATTTTATCTTTGCCATGATGACAATAAATAATATTTTTTCAAGTCACTTTTTATACAGCTTAAAGTGACATTTAAAGGGTTTATGTTAACTAGGTTAGGGTAGGGTAGGGTAATTAGGCAAGTTATTGTATAATGCTGGTTTGTTCTGTAGACAATCGAAATAATATAGCTTAAGGGGGCTAATAATTTTGACCTAAAAATGGTGTTCTATGACAGTATTCTAGATGAAATAAAACAAAAAATACTTTCTTCAAATGAAAAAAATATTATCAGACATACTGTGAAAATTTACTTGGACTGTTAAACATCATTTGGGAAAAATCTAAAAAACAAACAAACAAAAAAAAAATCTAAAGGGGGTTAATACTTCTGACTTAAACTGTATATAGTAATCAATGTCAATGGCGTTACCATATATGGTCCTTCATGCACCTGACAAAGGGTTAAACCATATATATTATAAATCACAGCCGACCCGATGTGAGAAAATACTGTAACCCATATTGTGATATGGATTTTATTCAACATATCATTCATCCCTATATAAACCCCAGTGTATCTCGTTTTCATGCTCTAGCCTGCTTCTCTGTCACTTCTCTTAAGGACAAAGGCAAAAAGCTGACAAGCACCCGCCACGATCACCTCCGTGCTTCATGTGAAAACGCAGCCCTACAAGTGTTTACCCAGACACTCCTGAATGCTTTCCGTCACAAACTCTCTGACTCCAATCCATCAAGCCAACATTTAGACATCACCAAGTGTAGTTGGCAGGACCGAGTCGGGGGAAATTCAATAGGGGCTGTCCAACGACTTGACATTCTCCTTAAAGGACAACACATTCAATCATTTCATGTAAATAGGAGGGGCCATTGACGCTGTATTTCATGTCTTTAGTGTTGTCGGCCATGATGGATGCAGATCACGTCTTGTGTTTTATCACATCAATATGATTTCCTCCCATCAGAATGAAGCTGCTGCTTCATCCCCTCCGAACGCATCCCAGCGATATTTCTGAGAAGAGAGATGCTACTGAAATTCACAATTAAGGTAATAAGACTTAGTTTTAACCCCAAAGCAGAAATGCAAATATTTCAGATGTGCAGCAACAGCAAATCTGTCGACATTTGATGAGTATTTTTCGATGTTCTTTTTTAAATGCAAATGTCATCAGATTGTTTTTCTGATCCCCTAAATGCAGAACAGGGACTCATTCGGATAACAGCCGAGGGGAGGGCAAAGATTCACTAAACGCAGCCTCTAATTACTCATGAATTCCTTCGCTCAGCAGTCCACAGGCTTATATGCAGCAGTTCCCTCCTCACTTTCCGATTATGGCCTCTACTTTCCCTATGGGACCAATAGCAACTCCAACTCTATTAGGTCCGACAGCACTTACCAATATGAACTACTCAATAACAACAGGAGGAAACACGGCGTGCTCTGTTAGCAAAAAAAAAAAGAAGAAGAAAGAAATAAACAATCCAGTTTTCTTTCTATTACTCATGTTCTTCTCTTCTAATATGTCTGTGCAAGTATGAAGGCACCCCGGTGTAACACTTTGGATAATGATATGAGATGAATCAGAGCTTTACGACCCCATCCGGTCAGGTAAATCACACCACCCTCTTTTATTTTATTATATTAGTCCTGCACTTCTGTACACACATCAATATCGACTGCGTGATTGGTGAGAGATGAATAAGTTGGAATGAGCTTTATTACACTCCCAAGGAGGTCAGAATAACATAGAATTGGAATGGGTTGATCTTTCAGTTGTTGCAGATAGAATTAAAAGTAAGGATGGACGATGTAGACTTAAAACAATATCATAATATTTTCTGGTAATATTGCGATAATCATAATTTATATGCACCCACTGACAGTCAAAAAAGTGTTGTATCTTTAGAGAGGTGTATTCATTTATAAATTTATATAATTCTGACAGTCACGCACCGCTACATGAACTCAATATTTTGAGGATTGCATATGAGGAGCATCGGCGCCTGTAATGGAAGGGAATTCCACCATTTTTGTACTTATTTCAAAGTGTTTTCATGCCTACACTGTAAAAAGCAATCCGTTATTTATGTTTTTTTTCTGCCAGCTGAAGTGCTGGAAAATAAAACGTAAAATAACAGCCGTTAAATTACAGACATTTACTGTAAAAAACAGATGGTAAAGTACAGAAATGTACCAGAAATGTAAATTTAAGGAAATTTCTGAAATTTATCGTCTGTTATTTTATGGTAAATATCTGTAATTTAATGGCCGTTATTTAACTCCAGCACCACAGCTGCCGCAAAAAAACATAAAATATTAGATTTTTTATAGTGTATTTAAAATGAAAGCACAGAACGGATAAGAGCATGAGGCATCCCCTGGTGGTTCGGCAACATGGTTTGAGTATATGGAGGATCCGCCCTTTCATGTTTATCGCCATCCTTCTGAGAAATATTGAAAATATGGTAAAATGCCTTTACCGGATGATAGTGGGATAGAATTGTAAATTAATTCTAGGAGAATCCTGGGAAAAAGGGGGGGTTGACAGGTATGATGGAAACAAATCAATGTAAACTTCACACTCAAGTTAATTAATTAGAATGAATTTATCGCCCAGCCCTACACAAAACTGTATTGCACTGTAGCAATTCAGATCACTCATCCTTACAGCAAAGCCTTCCTGCAACTATAAACAGCAATAACTGAGAGGCCGCTAGAGTTGTGTACACACACACGCATAACAAACTGACAGTATCACTGCCTGTGCCCGCCATGTTTAATTGATGCCTTGTCTGTGTGATAATCGAAAGCCAGACAGAGTGGACAGGTGCCATCTGAATCCTCTCCTGCCCGCTGTTTGCGAAATTCTCTGGGCTCAGGTGCTAATTTATGCTGCCACACCACTTTTCACCCTGACTGCACTATCAGAGACCCTAAGGCACTCTATGGGACAATCTCATTTACTGGTGAGAATATATAACATCGCTCTCACTCTCTGCCCGCAAGTGAGAGGAGCACAATGAGACGGTTCTAGAATAGCACAAGTCACGGCAGCAGAGCTCATGTCACAGTAACAAAACTGTGATGAAAATCTGGTCAACATAAAAATCTAATTTGGTTTGTGTTCATTAAAAAAAAAACTGCTTATAAAAATAAATCTTGATTACCCTTGTTCCTTGTTAGCGTGCATAATATTTGTATATTCATTCTTTATTAGTGTTTCTGAACCACAGACAGTATTATTGGCTTGCTTTCTCTAAATATATTTGGTTTTCTTAAACCTATCCCATATTTAAACATTACAACGATTGCTTACCCTTAGTATGAGGAAGTAGTAATTAAGAATTTATAGAGTGAAAGTCATCTAATAGTGCCCTAATCTAAAGGATTACCAAATGTTCAATCGATATATGGAAGTTTGTTTCTATTAGATCAGTGTATCTACCGATATCGAAACCCAATTCAATACTTGTATTATACATAAAAAGAACAAAGACGAGCAAAGAAACATCCAGGATGTTCCTTATTTTTTATTTAATACTTCTGAGAGGTAGCTTGAACAATCAAGTATTAAATAACATACATTTTTCACTTTTGGACTTTAGTACAACATAAAAACAACTAGCACCTCAACTTATAATACCCGGCAGGCAATCCCAAGTTTACATATCCCACAGTTTGCTATGGCAATCTTGTCGTCATCACCTTTATAATACCTCCAGACCACAGACATACTCGTGCGTTCCGCTTCAAGCTGCTTTCGTGTTCTACTTTGCCGGCATTTAACCAATAGCGTCTCTGCAACAAAATCATGTCATGCTGCATACATTGCTGTTTCTGTGTGAAGTATGTATACATACACAGCTGAAGAAAGAATTATTAGCCCCCCTGAATTATAAACCGCTTGTTTATTTTTTCCTCAATTTCTGTTTAACGAAGAGAAAATTGTTTCAACACATTTCTAAACATAATAGTTTTAAGAACTAATTTCTAACAACTGATTTATTTTATCTTTGCCATGATGACAGTAAATAATGTTTTACTAGATATTTTTCAAGACTTCTTTACAGCTTAAAGTGACATTTAAAGGCTTAACTAGGTTAATTAGGTTAACTAGGCAGGTTAGGGTAATTAGGCAAGCTATTGTATAACAGTGGTTTGTTTTGTAGATTATCGAGAAAAAATATAGCTTAAAGGGGCTGATAATTTTGTCCCTAAAATGGTGTTTAAAAAATTAATAACTGCTTTTGCTCTAGCCAAAAATAAAAACAAAAAAAACAAAAAAGACTTTCTCCACAAGAAAAATATCAGACATACTGTGAAAATGTCCTTGCTCTGTTAAACATCATTTGGAAAATATTTAAAAAAGAAGAAAAAAATTCAAAGAGGGCTTATAATTCTGACTTCAACTGTATATTCGAGTCCTGATCAGGAGGTAACATTCGATTCGATCAAGTCTGACACCACTAATTTTCAATCACGTGCTCGGATCTGGACATCATTAATGTATGATATATAATCTATAACATATCAGACACCCCAGTTTTTTTTTCAATTTTGTGATCACTGAATCCAACGCAAAATCAACAAAAAGTCGAAAATTGTTGCGACCCTGCAAAATTCTTAATTTAAAAGCAAAATAATTGCAAAAAAATTCAAATAATCTCATAAAACGTCCAATTCCAAACCATTTAATCAAATAATATGTATTTCAGTTGGTAATTAATTATTTTACATGACTTATAGATGTTGCATACATATTTGCATACGAGTGATGTATTTGAGTTCTCGAAAAAAAATTACGTCTCACCTGTTTCCTCACGACCATTACATTACATGGAATGGGGTCAGCAGGAGTTTTCAACTTGTGCAGTAATCAGATGAATCGCGACTGATTTACATGTGAAGTCATAGCAAAGATGAGATGTAAACATCCTGTGGCGCAAATTGGGCACTTTGTGCGTTTCACATGCTTTAGACTGCAAAAGAAAGTGTCAGCAAACTTCTAACAAATAGACCTTTTCTGCCATTGACGAGTTTTACAGCAATTCATGCTTTAGGTGTATTATGATAGGGGACACCCTAACGCATGTCCTATGTGTGACACGATGTCAAATGCTCCGGGGAGTGCAATTTGAGAGGAAGTAAGATTGTTGATAAAAATAAGAGTTATGCAAACTTAATCCCTACTGTTTTAGATCTTGTCTTGACAAGAGACCAAAATAAAGAAGCTTTATTTTTATGATTTGTGTCATTGTCATTTTTTCAAATTGCTATATATATATATATATATATATATATATATATATATATATATATATATATATATATATATATATAATGTATTCTTTTATTTTTTTATATATTACGCAAAAAAAAAGCATTTACTTTAGTTCAAATAACTATATTTTAAAACGAAGACAAGGGCTGCGTCCGAAACCGCCTACTACTCAGTAGGTACTGCATTAGAATTCAAACGTACTACTCGGCCGTTAGAACAGTAAGTTCTATACAGTATGAATGTGAAAAGTATGAATGGAATTCGGATGTACTACATCCGCCATTTTGTCATGGTCACATGACCTACCTGCGTCAGTTGTGTTGCCTCACTTCCATTCATGAATTCTCTCACAGGGCATTATGGGATAGCGCACCATGCATGGGATGCGCACTACAGAATCTCACCGGAAGTATTAAGTCATCCGGGTACTTCTCGCTTACTGATTTTCGAATTCTATGAATTCGGACATACTACTCAGCTCAGATACTGATTTTAGCGTACTATATAGTATGGAAGTATGCGGTTTCTGACGCAGCCAAGATGTTTTACTTACCCCAGTGGCAGAAATTTTTACTTGTTTTAAGGATAAGCTCTTTATGTTTACCTATTTCTTTTTAAGTTACTTCTTAAAGACTATTTTTACTTGAACTATGATATTTTAGATATTTGAACTAGAAATGAGCCAAAGTAAGAAAAGCCTTTTTCAAAATTATGGTTAGACTGCCCAGAAAGCTTTCAAAATCTTGTGAAACTGCAATATTTATTGCAGGAAAATGTAATATATCAATATAATTTTATTCCAGTGACATGCAGCCCTAATATATATAACACTAACAAAAATTGCTAATCATATAAGAAATTCTATGTCTTAACATTGAGCACAATATTTTATTGTTTTGTTCTATCTATTGCATACATAAATGACAAAGCTGCTCTAATTTACTTTCAACGGGCTGTAATTACGAGTTTTTTGATGTGTAGTAATCTGATAGTCCTTTAAGTGTAATAATTTATCTCATATTGCTCCAAACCAGTCTGACCTTACGTCTTCTGTGGAACCAAAAGTGGAAATTTAAACAGCTAATGATAAAATCTAATGTTTAAGCATTTGGTGGATGCTTTATCTAAAGTGAATTAAATTACATTCAAAGTATGCATGAAAGAAATGATCCTGCAGTTTCAGAAAACTTGGAATTTGAACAATCCACTCCAAAGCCTTTGTATGGGAAAGAGTGCCCAGTACATCCATAAATATGTCTACTTTTGTCTTCTGAATAGCATAATAAAGTCATACGGGTCTGCAACAATATAAAAATGACTAGATTTTCATTTCTTGGTGAACTCTCTTGATGGAGAATATTTGTAAAGATATAAAATTGATAAAAGAGTTAACCATTGTGGATGAAATATAAAACGGTTGTATTATCTGCAGTCTGAGAGATAAATCTGAGAGATGTGGGCAGTGAAATGGTCTGTTTATGGTAGAAACTGGTGCAAGTCAACTTCCAGTGATGGAATATTACGGTTTCTGGCTGTGGGATTTACTCTTGAGTTTGTTGTTGTTGATGTTGTCTGGATGACAGCTGATAGCACTGTGAGCACTGGGACTCCCATTTATTATTAATGGCCTGTGTGTCATGGCTGTCACTTCACATTGTTTTTGCGTTACCTCGAGGAAGAGCTCACAATGATGCATTCACTCACACACAGACTCAAACACACTTGTTTCCCCAAACTGACCTCGCAACATTTTCAGCCTCCCTTTTAGTGCTGTGTGGATACTTTCAAGATGTGCTTCTCTGATGTGCGGAGGCAGAGGGAATGAAGGATGCTGGTTCAAAAGCTTTCCACACCATGTGAAGGCCAGACACTTTGCTCCAAAAGACCACGCTTTCCACGCGTCAACCCGTCAGCTGCTTGAAAGACAGATAAAGGCTAGGCAGAAAATAAAGATGTGACATCAAATTGCTTTTTAATTCAGCGGAATTAGCATAGTCTACATTGTTTCATGTTTGAACAGCACCTTAGTGGTTAGACAGCTTCAAGAAAGATTTTGTGTTAACTTTTCCTCACGCAGAGCTGATGAACACAAACCCGCCATTGTCACTGAGTGCTGAAAGTCAATTTATAAGATAATTGAAGTAATCTCTCTCACAAATAAATAGATTTTAAATGAATAAAACTTGATTTTTGATCTACGAAGTTGTGAATCGCTTTTATTGGCTTTTGTCAGAGATGCATGCTGGCCTCCTGCGGTGTTCAAATATATACTGGGAATAAAGTCAGTGTTATTATGCGGGACCAAATTAGCCTTACTGCTGAGCAAATCGATACATACTAGCAGAGGGGATTAACTTATAAAAGTCAAGATGAGCAACCAATGGCAGCTTTGAATGATTTTTCTACTGAGATATTCCTCCAGTACACTGCGTGAGGCGTTTAGAGCAATATACAGGTGTCTGGGGTGAAAGCAAATTGATAAACAATATTACGACAGGTTTATAAGGTGGACACCCAAGTGATTAGGGGATTTAGGGGTCCAGATGACTGTCCAAAGGATGGATGTACTTTGACAGTCACTTGTGCTTGATGAAGATCATTAGGCTCTCTTAATCACAGCCTACACTGTAGAACATTAGTCGATTGCCTGTGAAATTGCATTTACTCATGTTTGTAACACTACAATCAATTTCGCTATGTTGTAATGATGAATGATATTGAGTGACTCGCATGCGAGATGCATGGATCAAACAGAACCAAACTTATTGGACTGAAGTCCTGCGGCATGGCTGCTGACACGTGATGCGCACACAAATGTTGTAATTCTAATAATAGCGAGGTGACCTTTACTCACAATTCTGGGTTTTAATCTGCAATGTGCTGTTAATTATCAGGTTGTGGGACTGGAAATGATATCCCATTGTCTTCGTGGCACAGGACGGTGGACAACTTGGAAATATGTTATCTTGACTGTAGTGAAGGTGTAGAGGGGAAAAAAATAAATTTCCTGAAAATGAGCCGTGGCATCTAATTAGATTGAATGCTGCTGAGGTTGAGTTGTTGCCAAAAGCGCTGCTTTTGAATTAAAAATGTGGTGTTTGGCATGGGAGACAAGGTAGAGTTTGTGGTCAAGGAGAGACCAGACAAAAGCCCTCATCAGGTAAATCAGGGCTGACTTTTATTTCTTCAGGTGACAAAGCTGGGTGGCCTTCTCAGGCCAGAGAACAGTAAAGCGTCCTGACAGAATGACTTGCAAGGGCGCACAGGGGGCGGGGGAACAGTGCTCTTTCAGTCTCTGCAGTGACACTTTACTTTGTGTGTGTGTGTGTGTGTGTGTGTGTGTGTGTGTGTGTGTGTGTGTGTGTGTGTGTGTGTGTGTGTGTGTGTGTGTGTGTGTGTGTGTGTGTGTGTGTGTGAAAGAAAGAAAGAGAGAGAAAGAAAGAGAGAGAGAGAGGACAATGGACCGTTCAGGAAAAAAAATGTTTAAAATATTTCAATTGTCCAGTTATGCTAAATCCTGTATTATTTTAGGTGAAAAACTTTTCGAATATGGGTCAATGACATACAACCATAATCACTTTTTAAAAATCATTTTTTTCATGAGGGGCAGCATGGTGGCTCAGTGGTTAGCACCATGGCCTCACAGCAAAAAGATTGCTGGTTCGAGCCCTGGCTCGGTCAGTTGGCGTTTCTTGGTGGAGTTTGCATGTTCTCCCCTGCAGGTGTGGGTTACCTCCAGGTGCTCTGGTTTCCCACACAGTCCAATCACATGCGCTATAGGTGAATTGAATAAGCTAAATTGTCCGTATGTGTGTGAATGAGTGTGTATGGGTGTTTCACAGTGCTCGGTTGCAGCCGGAAGGGCATCCGCTGCATAAAACATATGCTGAATAAATTGGCAGTTAATTCCAAGTGGTGCTCGCTGCAGAGCCATTTGAGGAGAGGTGGGCTCCAGAGAGGGGGAGCTTAAGCTTGAGCTCCACCTTTTTTGCACTTCTTCTACGAGTGATGTCACTGGGGGTAGGGTTAGGGGTGGGGTTGGTGTACGCATTAAAACAGCTTACAGGAGGAGGAGCGACAGCTCATGCTCCCCCTCTCTGGAGCTCACCTCTCCTCAAATGGCTCTGCAGCGAGCACCCTCTCGTTAATTCTGCTGTTGCAACCAACCAATAAATAAATAAATAAATAAATACATACATACATACATACATACATACATACATACATACATACATACATACATACATACATAAAATTAAATTAAAAGTCAGATTTTATTTTTTTTAAATAAGATAAGTCTTGCACTTGTCTAAAAACTACAGAAAAGCACAGTCCAGTATACCAGAATTTAATTGTTATTGAACCAAAATCTTTTTGTCCCAACAAAAAAATGTGTTATTGCTGAAATGATGAGTTTGTGAGCTCTGTTATAAAATAGTTGTATGTTGTATACTGTATATGAGTACATTATATGTTAGGAAAATTTCATTTAGTGAACAAACACTTTTAAAATGACAAGGTAATGTTTTTTTTTTCAGTGACACCTTTAGATTGTTTTATTCTGGTTTTAAATATAGACTTAAGTACTATTTTAAGTACACATTAATGACACACTCTAAACCTAATTTATTTGTTATGGTTTTGCTTGCTTGCTTCTGAGTGTTTAGACTATAGATACAGTTTTGTTCTTAAAGTAAATAAAAGATTACCTTTAACTATGACTTGTGTAATGGTGAAAACCACTAAAATTGCAGATTTTAGATTTTAGACAGTTGTATTATTATTTGTATTTTTTATTTTTTACTTTTTACTTTTTAAGAACTGACATGAACAAAATTAAACAAAACAACTAGTTTACAAAATTATTATTTATCATTTTTACCAGTTGAAGCATTAAATGGCATGTATCAATAATCACAATACTGTGACAGTCTGAAACCGTGGTATTTTTATCCAAGGTTATCATACCATCCGAAATTTATACCGGCCCATGCCTAGTATCAGTAAACTACTTAATTTTTTTCTGCCCTTAATTTTAAATGAGTTTTTCTTTATGATAGCAAGACATGTGTTGATCATTTTAACTTTATTCCTTTCCCTAATGAATAGATTTGTTTATGCATTTGAAGACATCTAAAAAAGATGTTTAGAAAAATCTAATAATTATCATGGCCTTTACCCTTGTGGCTTTATTCTCTGTGGAGTGGAGGTTAAATAGGCTACTGCACATCTGTGACTTTTTTCATTGAAAGCAAAATGTGGACCCTTATTATAGAGTAATTTGCTCTAAATGATATTTATATGTCACATGCTGCCCTGACTTCCTCTGGGGCTCTGCAGGCCCACCATAGAAACATGCAATTTCCCAGTGAAAGCCATGGTCTGAAATGTGTAAACACGGCTAAATTACATCCGGACTATATGATTTGCTTTGTTGGTTTGGTTGTTTGTTTGGAGTCCAGTAACCAAGCATGGCTTCATTAGGTGGTGGAAGCTGTGAGGTTTCACCTCCCCTGTGCATTTTCCAGATGCCCACTGATGGGCCACTGCTGGCAGAGGTGTTAGCATCACATTTGCCTCCATCAGGGACACAAATATCACAGTATCAGTCACACTTCACTTCACATTAAGTCTGTCTAATTAAGGCCGAAAAAGGAGGAGATGTGGGAGTTAAGGCACACATGCAGACACTGCTGCTTTCCCATTACTGCCTGTCAGCGCCATTTTGTAAAACAACCCAGTCAGCAAGTGCTCGCTGAAGTGCAGTTGTCCGTGTGTCTGTTTTTAAGCCATTTCTTTTTTACACTTTTTGCACCAACACTTCCTCATTTCTATTCTTCAAATGTTTTATCGTGAATAAAACGCCCTCTGAGGAGCAGATAGTCCAAACCCTGACTTTTTCGATTTATGTTTGAGAAAGCCGGCGGACCACAGGGGTTAATTAAAAGCGTAATTGCTGTTATTAAAGCCCTCTTCCCATTTCTCCTGCCTTTTTTTTTTCCAGCTTTCTGACACCGCTTGCAGAACTCACTCTTTTTGGCATCTGGAGCTCCTATTAAAAGATGTGGGCTTGATTCTCCTCCAGATGTTCCGGCTAATCATCTGTCCAAAAAGGAAACACTTTATAAGCATTCCAAATATTTACACACCCGAACACTTGCGATGCAGGTTTTAGCCCCTTGGGTTGGACCCAAAGCTTGGGAAATCTATGAAGTCTTAATAGAGTCAGCCTTAACCACCTCTCAGAAGCAGATGCTCTTTTGTATGAGTGCGGTTCAAATACGTGCGTTTTATTAGGTGTTAAACACAAGCGTAATCACGGTGCTTCCGAGCTCACAGACTGCTGTGCCTATGCCAGAATGTGGCATCACCACTCCTCTGCCATCCTCAACCGAGAACACCCGAGGAGCTTAAAGTGATATAAATGTTCTTGAGTGACAGCGTAAATCTGTACGATGACAAATAACCTCCTTTGAAGTCAACGCCGCGTCCAATAGGATACAAGTTTTGTATTATAAAAATGCCCCAATGGCTGAAAAAAGCAAAGCACAATGTCAAAGTGACAATCTCAGCTCGCTAGCTATGAGGAGTGAGGGTGTTATCTGAATAAGAGCGTCACGCTCGCTTAAATCTGTATTCCGTGGTAACTTGGCACGTCGATGACGGGGGAAAAAATAGCACATAATAAAGTCAGCGCAAATGAACATTTTTCGTGTCCAATGCATGCTGCAATACATCACAATTCTGCAGCCGGGCCCAGAGTAATATATAAACTTAGGAGGCTGTCTTGTTGCAAAAATGAAAATGTACTTCTAAGAAATGAGCAATTTCCCCATGGAAGAATTGAAAATTCAAAGGGACTGTCTGCCGGTGACCTGTCATCAATCATGGCTGGTGCGCTGGGGGCCTGGGAGAACGGCCGTCCATTGACAGGTGCTACCCGGTGCCTAATGGCACACAGCAAACACAGAGCAGTGCGAAGGCAAGGCAATAGGACTGTTAATTGCTCTGGCTCTGCTCTGGAATACTGAAAGCGGCTGGCTGAAGGCACACGGCGTCCGCGGCCTCCCCTGCTCTCATTTCCCCGCCGGATCCCGTGGATGCCTTGCAGATTACGTGCCCAAACCAATTGCTTTCGGCCCTTCCAATACTTATTGAAGCAGGAGTCTCTGACATGTGACAATAAGAGATACTGGCAGCTCAAAAGCTGCAGCTCATTCTGTAGGTTAAATAGCCCTTCCAACGATGACTGCGAGAATGAAATGGAAAGTTTTTTTTCGAGGTGCTTCATTTCAGGGTATTTGACTTTCTAGGTTTACGTCTTCATTAATGTGAAATGAAACACAAAACACGTCAGAGTGGTTCAATGTTTGATTGCAGCGTGGGCGTTTTTTTTTTTCTTCTTTTTTCTCTGCTTGACAAAATAGTCTAAATTGTCGAATATGGCTCAGTCAGAGCCAAAGCATTACCTACACCTCCCATCAATAATTCTTTCCAAACCACACCACTTAAATCGTATGAACTGCTTTAAAGCCTTCATATGTGTGCCGTGCCCAGATGTGTGCGTTTCTCTCCTCATTTGTTTCAGGCATTAATAGTGAAAAACCGCATTAATATTCCTGGAAACCGAGCGCTCTTTTTCTCAGCTGAGGCGGATTTCCATTCCAACTGTCATCTGGCGTATATGAGCTTTTATTGATGTATGACTGTGTCAGGCTCTTCATTTTTGGAGTCAGTAAATGCAGATGCTCATAGGTTATAATGGGTCTTTGTTAGCGTGCTGTCTGTGTATGTGGAAAGCTGAAAGGAGGAGAAAGATGGAGTGGATGTGAGGTAGCTCTCATTGTGTGTGAAGCTCTCCACCATCTGCAGGCTGAGCGTGTGGCTCCCTGTCGATGGCTCCTGATGAGGGCCAGATGTTCACTCTGGCTGCTGTGTGTTCCATTAGGAGCTTCAAGGCTAAACGTGTTACTCTCTCAAGCCTGTGGGTTTTGTTCAGTGTGGGTTCTTGTCAGAGGGTGCATGCCAGGATTCAGCTTAATTCCAGGACAGCCTGCCATTTCTTTTTTAAATAGCCACTTTCTTTCTTTCTTTCTTTCTTTCTTTCTTTCTTTCTTTCTTTCTTTCTTTCTTTCTTTCTTTCTGCAGTAGTTTAATAATTTGTCAACTTTATTTCTTGTTGAAATAAAGTTTGTGTTTTGGCGCTGAAGAATATATAGTAGACTTGTTTTGAGGGACTTCACCTCTGTTATTTATTCATTTTTGTAGATAACTGACCAACAAAGCATACAATAAAATTAAGATACAAAATATACCAAACATTTTCCTACAAATTTTTTTTGAAGTGTATAATTTTTTAGTTCGAGCACTTGTTACACATCTGTGCTGGTGGATGACTTTATAGAAAATAAGGAATTAATTAATGCACCATTGTAAATTGTTGTGCCAAAGACCTCTGTCAAATAGGCATATTTGCTTTATTAGTAATGTAGGTCATAATTTTTAAAATTATGTTTTAAGCATCCGATTTTTCCTCAGTGCTGATGAGCTTTCATTTTCTCTATCTCTTGTAATAGGTGTGTTATATCATCGAACTGTTCGATAGAATAAGTGTGTAAATAAAAATTTGTAATCAACCATAGTGTCTTAAAATCCCTTTGTTAGAGAAAGTTGCAGAGCTACTTTATTCTGCCACAGATTTACATCTGAAGTTGACTGCAACAGCTTAGCAAAAGCCATTGCTAATTCAAAAATGCCACTTTAGAACAAGAATCTGAATCATTTTATTGCATCGTGTACCGTATTGTCTTAGTGAAGCTATAACAGCTCAATGACTGCTCACAGCTCAGGATCATAATGCAAAATGGCATAAAACAAAGTCTTCAACATCTGGGAACATAAAAACTAAACACTGCAGTCAGACCATTTTCCTCTGAAGCAAATAAAAAGAATAAGTGTCCGTCAGAGCGATGCTCTCTGTGGGGATTAAAAGAGCTAAATGCCTGTTGGCGCGCTGGAAGTCTACATTTTCAAATAGACGCTATCCTTATGTATAAACCACATATTTGAAATCTAAAAAACTACATTCTTTTCCTAATAGTATATTATGTGGTATGGCAGCTTCAGTATTTGTAACTACTCAAATTATTTTAGTCTTTCACTTAGCACTCATTGCAGGTGGAGTGATACACATGGCATAAGAGGCTGGAACAGTTTATTAGTGTAAACTAATAGAAAACGATTTGCCAGATTTGTACAAATAAGCACTCATGCACACGCAGACTTGTATATGTGATTTCAAGGACTCTCTATTGGCATAATGTAATGAAACACCAAGATATAAACATATCCGCATAATTGAGTAGGATAAACTTTTTATTCAATAAGAAAAGATGCACATAAACTATGTACATACAATGTATGGATGTACATAAAATTCAACATTCAGGTCTTTTTGACCAACTGCATCTCTGTTTAATGTTTATCGTCTTTTTTTCATATTTATTTTGTGTTCACACTTGTCGCTTATGTACACTGTAAGCTTCTGTAGCCAAAAACAAATTCCTTGTGTGTGTGAACAATTAAACTGATTCTGATTCTGAAACACTTTTACCAAGAAAATTTCAGTATGTGCATTAAAAAGGTCATGTGATTTTGTTATAAGAGATCATGTGATGATAAAAATGTGTGTGAATGGACAACCCAGCAGGCCGAGCATATTGTAAAAACATTTGAAATGTTGTTTTGGTCATTCTAAAACACTTTAACCATCTCAGTATTAGTGTTATTATATTATTAGGTACCTCCAGAATCAAGAGCATTTGTGCGTCGTGTCTCAAACGCCAACATGAATTCATTGCATGTCAGCATCTGTCTTTTGAGGCGCAAGTCATTTATTAAATAAAGAAAAGATTCACGCAGCTTCTCCTACCGCTGCAAACTCTGTTTTTTCTGTTGATATTTGGCACCAGGTGATTAGAAAGTGATGATTTTGTTCTCTTTGACTACTTGGATGGAAACGTTGCTTTATTCGCATGTCTTTTATGCGATATTCCAGTTTTGCGCATAAATTTAATTCACATGTTTAGATGGAAACATACATAATGTCTTATAAATTTCATACTCATGTTGTTATACAAATTCTGTCCAAATGTAAACCACAGAAATTAGTAATTCATTAATTCAAGTTTATTTACAAAGCATTTTTCACAAAAAGTACACAAAAGGTGCACATTATTGTATTAAAATTAATATCAGAAAATGTTAATAGTTACTATAACTTTATTAGTTACTAATAACCATAACTAATAAACTAAATAATAGCTTTTAACAGATTAATGTTATTCAATATAAGAATAGTTAACTTACAGTTATATAATAAATAGTTGATGTCATCGTGCACATGTTCAATGAAATGTATTTGTGTATTAAGTGTTGTCCTTGAAGTACAAAATCACACACAAGCTTTCATGAATGCACTCACGCAAACACTTAGCTTGGATGACCTTTTCTTTTAGAGTAAAACTGAATTTTCATCACTAGTTGTTTGGACGCTTAAAGAAAGTAATATTACTTTCTTATTAGAATTTCATATTACATTCATGTATTTGGCAGATGCTCTTATCCAAAGCGACTTACACTGCACTGAAGGTACACATCTGATCACATTGCTTGCTTTCCCTGGGAACTGAGCCCACAGCTTTTTAATTGTTCCCCAAAATATTTATTTAATTAAAATGATGGCAGTGTTTCTGCACCACCATCTTTCATCAATTTTGGAAATGCTTTTTTTTTTCTCTCAGAGAACCCCCAAGCAAAGAAACTCTGACTGTGTCTGTAATCTTAAGAGGATCTCAGGTTAGCACACAAGTGAGGCAGCAGAATTTGAAGAGTTGCTTTTTTTCATGCATTCAATTCTTCCACTCCACTGGTTGCTGTTGACACCTGACCTAGCAGATTTCCCCTGTGTCCTCTGATGTTTGTTAGTCGGCTGCTTACTAACACTGTGTGGAAATCTTGGCAATGTTCATTGATTAAAATGATGTTTACTGGTGGCTGTAACAAGCTTTGCTTCTTGCTGTGTTTATGCATGGCGGTCTTTATCGCTGATAGTGGACCCTGCAGGGTGCTACTATGAAATTAAGTGGAAGTTTACAAGACCACTGTGTCGATACAGGAGTTGAGGATAAAGAGGGGCAAAGAACCAGTTCTTTGTTATACTGACACTTTCGTTTTATCGTCTTCTCAATAGGCAAGCACTTGGGAAGCAAAAATGTTCATTTTGAAAGAAAAACAACTGAAAATATCTACTTTCTTGGGAAATAGCTGCAGTTGCTAAATGTGCGTTCGGTAGGAGAACAAAAAGCATGAAGACCAATGTAACCCCATGTGCATTTTCTATCAGGTGTGTAACCCGGTTTGGACCGAGGCTGTAGGTAATATCTTTGATGAAAACTGTTTTCTTTGATTTTCTCCAAAGCTCTTTCTTGGCGTGACAGAGCAGGTCAACAACAGCTGCAGGGATTCTTCTTAATTATAAAAAAACATGCTGTTTGAAGGGAGTAGGAGAAAAAAAAGAGCAAGAAAAATACTTCAGGTCTCGCCTGCAGTGCATACTGATATAATTTTCATAGTAATGAGTCCTGGATGGTATTCTCCACGGTAAAGGTGAAATTATAAAAGGATAAGTAGGGGAGGGCAGACGGTGCGAGGAGGGGAAGAGTCTTAATTAATCTTGCAGTTTGCTCAGAGGGTGAGGGTCACATCACATACATCTGATAACAGATATATCGGAATTTCACTTGAAGGGAGGAAGTGGCTCATCAGCTTTTAATATTTAAGATGTCATAAAAACAAACGCACATCATTTGGCTGTTCAGTGAATCAGTAATAAAGCATTCCAACATGTATTATCTTTTGAAAGATTTTAAACACACTAGTGTTTCATTTACATCCTAAATGATTTTCAAGATGTTAGAGACCACAAACTTAAAAAAAAAAAAGATTTACAACTTTTTCACCAGATGTTTGCAAAAAAGAGCACAGCACACCCCAGCAGATTTTCAATGAGTCCCAAATGTGAAATTTCAGGAAATCTTCCGAGACTTTCGAGAAAAAATTAAATTGATAAAAAGAAAAAATTGTGCTGTTGCCACAAATCGACAAGCTTTGTCCTCATCTCAGCATCTCAGCTGTCCAAATTCATTTCACTTTGTGCTGCACCAATGTTTGTTATACTTCCGTCTTCTGTTCTCTTGCTTTCTGATTGGATATTGTTTTGCTTCACGTGTTGATCTGTGG